TTTGTAAACTGTATAATATAGTTTCTCTAGATGGCATTGCTCTGGCATCCAGCAGCACCATAAAAAATCTCGAAGTTATCTTTGATCGTGATATGTCCCTTAAATCCCAGTAAAAACAATCTTCAAGGACTGCCTTTTCTTTACCTACGTAAAGTTTCAAAAATCACGCACATCCTGTCTCAAAGCGATGCAGAGAAATTAGTTCATGCATTTGTTACCTCTAGACTAGATTACTGCACTTCCTTATTATCAGGCTGCTCTAATACATCTCTTAAATCTCAGTTGATTCAGAATGCTGCAGCACATGTACTAAGAAAAACTAAGAAAAGAGATAATATTACTCCTGTATTAGCTTCTCTACACTGTCTCCCTGTAAAATCAAGAACATCATTTAAAATCCTACTCCTCACCTACAGAGCCCTAATTGTTCAGGCACCATCATATCTTAACGAGCTTCTAGTTCCATATTACCCCACTAGAGAGCTGCACTCCCAAATTCAGGGTTACTTGTGGTTCCTAGAGTCTTAAAAAGTAGGATGGGAGCCAGAGCCTTCAGTTATCAAGCTCCTCTTCTGTAGAACCATTTTCCAGTTTCAGTCTGGGGGCAGACACACTCACCACATTTAAGAGTAGGCTTAAGACTTTCCTCTTTGATCACGCTTTTGGTTATGGTAATTTATGTCCCATTAATGCACTAACTAACTTTGCTTGTTCCCCGGAGTCTTTGTGCATTCTCGCCTCACTAGGTTTCTGTGGATCGTGGTTATATCTGGACCCTGGTCCTTCCTCCTGCCGTGGTCCTGCCTGACACCCACTGCTACCATCTTTATTATTAGTAGATGCATTGCTATTTCTGATACCATTTCTGCTTTTGTTATCATTGTTATTCAACTACTGCAATTCACTGCTGTAGTTATTAGTAATAATCGTAATTTTCACAATTTTTTTGGTAATCCATCATTATTCTGCTTACTACTCCCATTATATGAATAATTTCTGTCACATGCATTGAATGTGTTGTAACTCTGTTATGTTTTTGGGGGGAGTTTTTGAGGAGAGTGTCCTGGGACAGAGGATGTTGCATATGTACAGATTGTAAAGCCCTCTAAGGCTAATTTTTGATTTTGGGCTGTACAAAATAATTGTAATTGAATTGAGACAGTTTATTGAAGAAAATCATGTTTCCTTTCACGAAATACACTTTTGGCCTCTTTTCAGCCTGAAAAGTTATTTAAGAGCATAAAAGGGGAAAATGCACTTTTTTGGAAGTAAAGTGGTAAAAGCATCAGGTAATCGTGAAAATAACGTTTATTGAATGAGCCACTGGTTGCCTCTGGTTCTCTGGCTTCACACGTCTCACAATCATTTCTTGGGAACCAAAACAATGGGCGTAAGGAATAAATCTGGTGTTAGTCTATGGTTTTCTTTTTGTCAACAATTGCCATCTAAAGTCTGAAGCCATCAGCACTAGTCTCTCAGTCCTATCAGACTTCCTGCTGTCTCTGGCACTCAGCCCCAATCTCATTGGTTGCTATAAAGACATACATTTTTAAAACTATCTCACAAATGTATTGATTTATTATAAAAACTGTAGTTTTTCGCAAATTCCACTCCAACAGGAGGAAATAGGGACTTTGTTGGGGATTTTTGTTTCGTGGCGGATAATTCAACATTTGGTTCCCTTGTGGGTATTTAGAGCAGCAGGACGGTGTATGTGGTGATGAAGGAACAGTGCAACAATGATGTCTTTTAAAGAAACTCTTTCAGGCTGTGCAGGCTATACGTACAATATTTGTTACAAAGAAGATTTGGGTCTGCACATAAGATTTGTTGATAATGAGAAAAACCATGTTTTCACAGTGGGATCAGCAGTACAACATCCCGCTCAAATAACAGGGACTCAGTGTTAATATTACAAAAATGTATTAATGCAGCGAAATGTGGAAAGAAGTCCAAGACCTTGCTAAAAAAAAGACAATTAATGAATACATTTTGGTTTATAGTTTAAAAAGAACAATTTATTCTGACAGGTGTCTACCATCAATATACTGTTAAGTCAATATTCTGGTGCTGCTAACAAGATCCCAATAAGACTGAATGTATGACGGACAGAGAAAGATCAAGGAGAACATCCCCATCTGATACCAGAGACCGTCTTTGCACACATTATCATGTATGTATGGAAATTAACTCTCCATCCGCTGAAGAACATTGTGACGTGGAGTTGAAATCTCTCTGGAGTTAAGACAATACAAATTCAAACATTTTCCCATTCTTTACATGTACCTGATTTTCCAACTTGAAAAAGACCAGTGAGATTGTAACTTCTAAATTCTTCCAGTAACAAATTTCATGAAGATCCGAGCAGCTAAGATTCATGGGTTTCCATTTCAGGACTGTACAGTTGTATAACAGTGCATTGTGTTCAAGGATGTTGAGTGGTTTGTTCGTTCACTGTTGGTCCCTCCGTTGCCCACGTGCTCTCATTGCCTCTCCCTTCTTACTCCACTTCAAAAGGAGTCAGGTCTGTTGTTTGTCAAGTCCGGTGAGTCCACATTCCAATATGTTCACCTGATCTACTTCATGCTAAAACTTAAATAGTTTTCTCTCCAAAACTCCATTTCCTCTTCTGGAATGTCTTGTTACACTTCATATTATTTATTCATTCTGTAGCCATAATTTGGAAATGTGCTGTTGTATACAGATATAATAATCTGTAATTAATGTGTATTACTGTGCAGAAATACACATTAACTAACTGTGTTGGCTCAGTTCTGAACACAACACTAGTGCCCTTGGTGTTGGTGGGTAGTAGTAGTGTAACGGATCACGGATCGATCCGTGATAGGTTTGGATTACCCCTCACGGTAATCCGCGATGCATTTATGAACCGCGGATTAATTGAGTATTTTTTAAAAATAGTTTAATAAAGTTGTACTGCTGCTGTGCCTTTTCAAGTAACAAGTCCCCGAATATCAATGCAAAGTTGCAGTGAACAGATATAAAGCAGTAGTGTGTTCACATGAATGGAGCAGGTTAAAAGTACTTAGTGGTGAAAGTCATGGCGAGCGGAGGAACTTGAGAAGCCCCCATCATTTAAGTCGCAAGTTTGGGAGCATTTTGTCTTCCCTGTATGACGGGATAAGGGTGGTGGACAAAACTGTTACGGTATGTAGGGGTTGTTTAAAGAGAAAGATATACGACAACGGCAGTACATCGGGCATGTCCACACATATGTAGCGCCACCATCCTGGTCTGTCAGTGACGGGGTCCAAGCCACAACGACAAGGTATCATCGCGGCATTTGTTCTTTGCTTTCCATTTATTAATTCAAGAACACTTAAAGCAAAGTTATATTTGTCTCCTCTTTTCTTTGCCGATCCAAAAAATTATCCAATCCGTGAATCAAAAACCGTGATCCGATCCGAACCATGAGTTTTGTGATCCGTTGCACTCCTAGTGAGGAGTAACCCATATGTGGGTCAACTGGTTCCCCTGGTCACCCTTTCCAAGCTGCTGGTCATGGGCCTTCTCCCCATGCTGGCCCAGAAAGGCCGCACCCCCCAGGACAACTCCATCCCTACCAGGGATTGGACTTGAGTCTCTTCCTGACCGCCAGCCCAAGAGGCTTCTAGAACTGTCAAATAAACAGTCAAAGTGTCAATCTTTGTGGTGCAAACTTCTTCCATTGACCTGCCGTGTCAGGACAACACGGCTAAGCTCTGCTATAGGGCTTCCTTAAAAGCATCGTTCTGATCATATCAAACAAAACAAATCTTCACATTCTACAAATTCTATAATCAGATTGGAGCAAATTATAGTTGTAATCAATGGAACTGCAAAATAAACTTGTTATTCAATTTACCTCTGTGTGTCTCCACCTGATCGCGCAGTGTTTCCTGTATTATGTAGTTTAAACAGTGGTGGGCCGTCAGGGCCTGCAAGGCCTTCTCTGCTGGCCTAAACAGAATCACAAAGTTATAGCTATTTTATAATTTAATATTTTTTCTTAAATACACTACATGTATTGTAATTTATAAAAATATTTTCCCATTGCACAGCTACTGTCTTCCTCAGTTGCTCTGCTTCCAGTGCAGCTTGTTTTAAGTAGAGCTTTTATCCAATCAGATTTCTCCCGTGTCTCTAGCTAAGAAGAGAGGTGAATCCCTTTGCAGTTTAAGTAAATGGGGACGATATTGTTGATTGTCATGGTCTTCAGCCAATCAGATCTTTAGTTTGACATGTTGGGCGTATTCTTTGACGTGCCAGAGCCTGCTAGCCGGCCTACAACTACGTCAGCATTACGTGCAGCTGTTTCTAGGTGCAGCACTGCAGTGAGGTGCAGCGTGTGCTGTGATTGGTCAGTGGGCGAGCACGTGACTATTGTGAAACGAAACTTAACAGCAGAGGCTTAGTCAGAGTAGTGAGAGTTCAAATTGAAAGATATAGAAGAAATTATATTTTTTGCATTTTGCTTGGTGTAGATTATTATTTTTTTTACTTAGCTTTGTTTTAACACTAAATGGCTGTAGGAGGAGAAACGGATTTGTGAGTTGGGATTTAACTGGGATGAAACTCTTCAAAGAAAGGAGGATGGAGTTTGTCTTTAAGTGAACAGCATTTGGTAAGTCAACTGCATTTGTTTTTTCACATCTAATATCTGAATGGCCCTCGAGTGTGTAGCAGAATGCTTGTTGATGCTGTTGTTTTCCCGTTAAGCTAGTTAGCATAGCCTCCCAGAACACTTGCGTAGCCCCAGCTGTTTTTTGTTGTAGTTTTTTTTGTTCTGGTTTAGAGGTCACACAGACAGTTGTCTCCTACATGAGCGCAGAAAACATATTTCCCACAATTTAAGCTTCTGCATTTTCCAAATGCACTAGTATTATTCAAACGTATTGTTCGGTTTGTAAGCCTCGTACCGAACTGTTTAATACGAATACGTGTATTGTTACAGCCCTAGAAACGAATAATAACCGTAGCTGTGGCGCCATCATGAGGTTATAAGGTGGTATTTCAGCTGCAGGACAGCAGTGAAGGCCCAGGTGTAAAATGCACGGCCCGCCACTGAGTTTAAAGATGTGAGTAGTATGCCACCTAAAAATGAAATGAAGTCCCAAATTCTGGCATTAGATGAATCTATAGCCATGCTTGACAAATACTGAACAGCACCATTTTTTTTTTCAGATTCAATATTTGAAGGGGAATTGAAGTGAGATGAAATTAATTAAATGTAGATTTTAAAGCAGTAGATACCCTAGAAATCCTATGGGCAGCAATAAGGATGGAAACACTTTATTAAAGACTACACTTCATAACTGAAATACAACAACAAATAAACACAAAAGGATGGCAAACTTCATATACTGTTTTAGAAAAAATAGTATATTTGAATTTAAAGACTTTAATACATTCTCCATGATCACTGGAACCCACCATTCAGAAAGGTGTAACAGCATTTACTGTGTACACAAATCAGAGGATAGATGTGTAAACCATCAGCACACAAATTAAAACAGCAATAGAAGCTACTTAAAAAGTGAATTTAACACAGCATGTCAGTGACAGATTGGAACAGGAGCCTGTGATGGTTTCACTTCCACCTGGAGTTGAATTGAAATTCTGTGTGATGTCATGACTCCACCTGCTATTGCTTCATGCAGAGAAGTAAGCAGAAGCTACGGAGGGCTTTGTTTGCCGAGAGAACTCTACAAAGAATAAAAAAAGAAAATGGACGTGTCAATCAAAATACTTTCAAATTAGCATTTAGGGTTGTGGTGGTGGTGGGGGGTTGCACTGCTAATGCTGGAACAGTGTTCTTCAACCTTTTCTGAGCCGCGGAACATTTTTTACATTAAAAAGATCCCGTGGCACACCAACAACCAAAAAAGTTACTAAATGACACATTGTAGCATAATACAGCATATATACAGACAATTTAATGACAAGTCTCTCAATTTGTTGATCCTTACTCAGTGTGAAACCTGGGCCTGTTTAGATGAACACAAAGCTGATATCCTGGCAGAAACTGAAGAAAGGCACACACGAAGCTCTTCCTCAAGAGCTCTCAGTCTCTCTCTGTTTTTAATTGGTTGTCCAGGGCCCAGTTCAGAGTCTGCATTTTTCCTTTTCAAATATTTCTCCATCGCTATTCGTCTTGTCACCGCAACCTCTCCCGCACATCATTTAATTCTACTATCTTAAATTAACACGGTCATTATTGCGCTACCTACTGCACTACCACTGGCATGGAAGAGTATTTATTACTTAGCCAGCCACTGTATTGCAGGCTCAGATGCTCAACAATGGGCAATTATTTGCAGCAATTAAATAATATTTTTTGGGACCGATTAAGTGAAATTGGACATTTTCCCACGGCACACCTGATGATCTCTCATGGCACACTGGTTTGCCGCGGCACAGTGGTTGAAAATCACTGTGCTGGAAGACACCATGTTTCCCTGCTAAAGCATTCATTGTGAAGCTCTAAATGATGAGCTGTTTACCTTTGTGAAACACATTAGATGACAGACCATAGACTGGGATGCTATCATCTCTCCTCTCAAAGTACTTAGAATCCAGACCTGCAGAGTCTCCACTGAGGACAAGAAGAACACAGTGAAAATGACATACATCGTAAAAGTTTAACTAAATTCTCCAACAAACATGACCGACATGATAAAATAGCAGACTTTGAAACTCAATTCTGATTTAAAGCTTGAATAAGTAAACAGTGAAATGCTAGTCTTCTTTAGAATGAATGTATGTATGTATGTATGTACAGTCTATACATAAGTGTATACTGTGGAAAGAATATACTCACGTGTGTCTGATGGTTTGCTGCACTGATCGCTGATCAACAGGAGACGATGCACTTTTCCCTGTCTGAGGGAAAAGTGCATCATTCATTTTGTTGCTGTACTTTAAGTGAAGTGTGACAGTACTACTCATGTGAACTACAGTGTACCTTTAGTCCTGTTGCTGTGGATAGAAGTGAAAGCCTGTCCAAAGGTTCAGCAGACTGTGACTTTCTGGAGAGCTGCTTTTCATTTAGCTGCTTGTTGAGCCAATTTATAACTGTAGTAAAAGAACAATAGCACAGAAGATGAGCGTGCTAAAAAAGTGACAAGGTTTTTTGATCTTCAAAGTATTATAATGACTATAATGCGTCATAAGTGTGAGATCTAATGTCAGGAAGTATTGAAGTGCTGCAGTTCACTGTTGTGACCGATCTTTAAACTGTTACGTCTTTCTGCTACACCAGAGCTTTTCAGCCGTATGACGATGTTCTTAGAAAGTCATTGAAATCAAATGAACACATTGTCCACACATGGACTGCTTACATGCTTCATGACAATAGTTTTCATTGGAACCAGAATAACAGAGACACGGTTACTGGCGAAAGATGTTGCTGCTCATTTCTTATCTAAATATTTTTTTTTCAAAGTTATGAGCGTCACAAAAGGAATTGTATGGGTATAAAACCCAACTACATTATTCTGCTGAGCTAAATGTGTGTATCAGGTATGGAAACGGTCAAGTATTGATAATTAGCACTGAAAGCTGGTCAGATTCTAAAGTGCAGCACACATCCGTGTACAGACAGAAGTAGTAGTCAGGGTGTGTCAGGTATCTGGATCAGAACTTTGCTTATCTTATTGTTGGGACTTCACCATGTGGTAGGAACAAAGGGAGTTGAGCCTACCTCACAGTTCAACAGCCTGATTTAGGTTAAATCACACCAAACCCCACCAGACTTTAAATCTTTAGTCCAAACTCAACACTGAGGTCTCATTGGACGAGGGGGATCCCTGTGATACGGTGATGACGTCACTGAGACTTATAAACATCAGCGCTACCTACAGCTCTGGGGCATCCCACGCAATTCAATTTTGCATGCTAGGGGGCACAAACAACGTTGATGTTTTTAAGAAAACCTTGGAATAGTTCTACATTCGCTGGTCGCACAATAGCTTGTTTTGGATGTGAAAGAGAAGCAGACAACTCACATTCCCATTTAAGTCGACATTTGCCTGTCGTAAGGGAGAAAATTACCTTAACTTCTGAAGAATTCCCGCTGCTATACGAAAGATTTATCGCAGCGCAGCTTCACCGAATGAGTGAAGCGCCGGATCCCGAATAAGATAGAATTTCGAAGAAACACCCGTTATGAAGCAATCTCAAAGTAAGAGGCTTTTGTCTAGGTAGATATAAGTCATAGTGTGGTTGTAACCTAGTTGGTTTTGTTTGAAGTTTACGTGTTATTGTGTATGTTTACAGACCGCTGAGTTACGTTAGTGCTGTGTAAAATTAACTGTTGTGTTGTTGCTGCAATAATTGTGTTGTTTCAATGCTGTTTTTAAGAGTGTTATTCAATGTTGCTGTAATAGTGTTGTGTTTAGATCAGTCACCGCGAGTAAGGTTGGTAACTGTAACTATCAGTTAAAAGACCAGTGCCGTGCCTGCCGAATCTGAGTTCGCTGGTCGGGTTTCTGAGTGATAAGGTAAAAGTTTCTGTATTTTACTGCGGCGGTGAAGATATGCCTTGTTTTCCTTTTCCTTATTGTTTACACTCATATCGGTTGTGCTGTTATGCTTATCTCAGACACACGTGGTGTGTAAAAGCCTCTATTGTGTGCGTCATTGCTCCGTGAAACAATCGTGGCCATTTTTGTAGTTTTGCGTTGCGTAATCACATACGAGACTACATCTGTCTTTTTGGTAGTTTCCTCTCTCCTTGCTAATTTGTAGTCTCCTGTGGTGTGATCACGGCCGCCATTTTTCTTTTGCTCTCGCTTCTCCCCCCTACACAAACACATGCGCACCAGGATTGTTTTGTTTTTTTTGGATAGTATGCTTGTAATTGTATAGTAGTTGTTGTTAGCTTATAATATTATTTACTTGATCAATGTTATTAGAATTGAATAAACTGTTATACTTTAAAGAGCAGCTTTATAGCTGGATATCCTGGCCTGTGCTCAAATTCAAACCTTCCCTGCTCACTCTTAGTGTGGAATAGTACTTTGACTATTGACATTTTGAGTGAATACTAATTATGAGACTTCCATTTATAGTTTAGTTATTGGTCCCTGATCTCAGGGTTGTGCCCCGTTATTATTAATAATCTTATTGATTAATAATCGTATTGATATTAATCATTTTATTAATGTCAATAATTTAGTTTTCATACTTGCTGATAACCAAACACGCGCCTGCCAGATCCCAACATCATTCAGGGTCCGTGTTAATGTGTAAATGTGTTAAAATAGTTGTTTTGTTTCTTGTTACGTTGACTCTAAAGTTTGACCAGAATGTGCAGAGTTTGAAACATTCCTCTGTGCTCACCTCGACATCACAACTAGCTGGAAGCAAAGTGGTCCAGTATATAAGGGACATGTGGAATGTGCACTGAGAATGGACTTTTCAGTGAAGTAGGAGACATCTGGGGACCAACAGTCAACAACATTTTATAACTGCTGGATTTTCAATGAGGGAGAAGGGGGAGATATAATTTCAACATTTTCTAAAGAGGTTACTGAATTTGTGTGTGTAAAAACACAAGTTATGTGTCTTACAACATATCTGATCTTTACACACTCACGGAATAACTGATGGGTCCTCTAAAGTCAGTCGGTTTTATTCTTGTCCTCACATTCATGAACTGTAAACAGGAGCTCAAGGACACGACATGAGGACAGAGGAGCCGGGGATCGAACCACCAACCTTGTGGTTGAAGGACGACCGGCTCTCCCCCCTAAGTGAGACAAGCTTCCTCACCATTCTCATTTGTCTTCAACACCTCTCTGCTTTCATTTAGCTTCTGTACCGTTGTCTCCAACTGCTCCTTCAGTTTTGAAACCTGTAATACACAAATCCAGTTCATATCAAACCGCGTCTTTCCTGTTAATATGCCAACTGGCCTGCAAACTGATGTTCCCTGTGTAATGTTGGTTTGGTGCCTCTCAACCAGGCAACATCAGTTTGCAGGCCAGTGCAGGACAAGATGTGTTTATATAGTTGTATGTCAAATAAACACTACGTCAACAAATGAATGCAAAGACAGTGGGCACCATTATGTAACAAGTATAAAATATACATTCCTTCCCTTTGGTTTCAGATGTTTTGTGAAACAAGTGATTTACAGAGTAAACATGTTTAAGACAAGAAAAAGTGAGGTGAGGTGGGGTGCGGCGAAGGGATGGACGATACAAAGTAGATTATTAGGATTAGATACTTTATAAAGTTGCACCGATATGGAAGTTAACTGATTATTACTGATGTTGTGGCAGATACCAACATGACTGATAATATTAATCATACAAATAAAAAATGTAAAAAAAGGCTTAATTTCAGACCAACATGTTTATTTTTCTAATCATCGCCATCTAGAATTAAGCATATTGAAATAATTGTAAATTTAAAATCAGAGTTTTGTTGCTTAAGTGGACTCCTGATTGAAAAGCATCAGCGCTGTTAAGATGAAGAAAGCTACATGCGAAATGCAGACATACCTGCTCATCCCTGGTGACGAGCTGCTGCTGAGTGCTCTGTAGATCCTTTTCAACATTCTCAAGTTTTCCTGATGTGTCTTGGAGGAGCTTCTCCTGTGACACAGTCACAGTGTTTTTCACTTTTATTTTTCCAACTAGGCCTCGAACCTCTCCCTGCAGCTTCTTAATGATACCGTTAGCCTGGATTTAAAAGAAATAGAAGGAAGTAAGACACTGGAATGGACCGTATTGAAACATAAGGTGCAGTTATACACTCAGCTCAGCTAGTTTATTAGTTACACCAACAGGTGCTTCTATTATTTTCTACACCCCATTTATATCAATGCGGTTAAGCTAAATAACAGCAACCTTTCTTTAGAGTGCGATGCATTAATTAAATCTATGAATAGATGCCACAAAGCCAGTTTGTATGGACACAGTAAGAGGGATACTGATGGGTAACAGTTTCTTTGTGTGTTCACTTGTGGGGTTAAACCATAACAAACCTTTATCAGCTCCTCAGACAGGGATTTCACCGTTGCCTCAAGTTTTGTAATCTGAAGTTCTTTACTTTCAGCATTTTCTTCCATTGATTCCTAGAAAACAAAAAACCTAGAGGTTAAATATATAACTGTATATATATATATATATATATATATTAGTGCTGGGCAATGATTACAATTTTTAATCGCGATTAATCAAATCGTTATGCGCAAAATTCAATAATGAATTCAAAATTAGTGTATTGCGCACTTTTATTTTAAAAGTACTACTATATGAACAAAAGTGCAATAACATTTGGTTTGCAAACACTTTAAACAAATAAGGTTATTTTTAACAGCAGTATTCCCTTTACACAGTAGCAGTTAAAATACAGTTATAATGATTCTGATAATAGATATTCAGCCTGTGTTCACAACTTTATCTTCATGTGTGTAATAGATGCAATTTGAAATATATCTGCCATTGCATCTGCCATTGTCTGAGCTGTTTTCTCATTCCCCTTTCTTTTTCTTGGTCCTCCTCTTTGACTGACCCCCACACACTACACTCTCCCTCACCACAGATTGTTTGTTGATTTTAGATAGCGTGCTCATGAATGTATAGTAATTGTTGTTAGTTTAGATATTAGTTAACTAGATCATTATTATTGGAACTTAATAAACTCTGTTATACTTTAAAGAAAAGCTTTTTGTGATTACTTTGTGCATGTGTATTGTGATAATAGCTGGATATGTGGCCTGTTGCTCGAACTCAAGGACCCTCTTCACTCTGAATGTGTAATAGTACTTTGACTATTGACATTCTGAGTGAATACTAATTATGAGACTTAGTTATTGGTCCCTGTTGGCAGGGTGGTGCCCCGTTATTATTAATCATAGCAGCACACTGCGTACTGTGATTGACTGGGAGTTACACCTCCACATAGTAACCAAAAGCTTTTTGTTGACAAGAAATGCCCTGAAAAAAGCAAAATAATAAGAGAAAATCCAGGCAAAGTCTCACCACCACCACACACTTCTAGTCATCAGAAGTGATATTGATGAAGAGGGATTATTTTGCATCAGTCTATACAAAGTTTTTTAGGAAAATGCTGCATGTTATACCTTTAAGAAAAACAATGATATACAAAATTATCCACAAAGAAGCTGAAGAGAGCTACATATCTATGGACTGGAGATGCATGCTGCAATGAAACTAAGTAATTGGGCATAATACACAGCCAACTTTGATTCATTAAAAAACTGTTTTCTCTTTTCTCTCTCTGAAATGCTGGATGCCCGGTGAAGGCTCTGTATTTGAAAAATAATTATCACGTCATTGAAACCACGGAGTGAACCTTGTGTTTTAGATGTTATCATCAGGCTCTCTGTCGGTGATGTTTCTGTGTTTCTGTTCCGTTGATCTGCACAGATCTGATAACTGGCTGCTCTCTTCAACGGTTCTCTGAAGCTCTGTTGCCACTGACTGGCAAAGGCGGCAGCATGGAGGTCTCCAGGAACCACCTTATAATTTTAGGTTCATGTGATGTACCCAAATTTACAAACATGTAAGATATTACTACGGACACACTTGTAATGTTACGTTGCATGTCTGCTGTCACAAGTTAATGTTAGTTTCAGCAAATTGTTCATCTATATTAGCCATTGTTGCTAACTGTAACTAGCTGGTTATTCACTGATGCTACGCGCTCTAGTTATTGTATCGTGTTAGGGGAGGGGTTATGATTTCAGGCCCCCCATAAAAATGGTGACAGCTTAACTTCACAATTCTGTATGATAGAGTACAGTCTTTTCACATGTATAATGTGTTGACAAAGAAATGTCTGACTTTACCCAGACTTAGAAGTAAAAGCAAACATAAAACGGCCGAATAACAATGTTAGAAGACTCATGGTGGAACGTTACGTAACCATCAAAGCAGCAGTGCAGAAACGACTTTTAAATCTTTTTAAAGTGACTACTAACACAAAAACATTCCGTGTGTTGATAATCCTAAAATAACATGCTTAGGTGGAGACAAATAGGAACCAGGACACGGTAGTGTCTTGACAAAGCGCTCCGGGATGCTTCACTTTCAGAACTGCACATAGGAGGAGAGCTGAGATGGAAGCTAAGCTACTCCACTACCCAGGCTACTGCTGGTTGTCTGATGTCTGGTCGCAGAAAAATAAGACTTCAGGCTAACCCCGCAACGGGAGATCAGTGACTGTTGAGCCCACATCTTCACAGAGACCCAGCTCCATCGTTCATCCCGGACAGCAGGACAGAGAGGAGAACTGCGGTGGGACCAGAGGAGGTGGACTCTGTTTACATCATGATGCTTGGTGGCCAAACATCAGTCAAAGTTGATAGACAATGTTTTTCTCATGTTGAATTTTTAATGTTAAGATGTCGGCCATATTATCTTCCCAGTGCATAGTTTTTGTTGCTGTTGTTTACATTCCTTCTGATGTAAATTCTAAAAAATGCACTACTGTTTTTTGATTTGTTTTGCTTGTCATGTTTTTCTTGTGTTGCAAATCGGCTACAACTGACTTTTGTTGTGTATCCCTCTGTTGCATAATGACAATAAATGATCCTTGAATCCTTGTAGTCGTAATTTTTCCATTACTATTCTGCTTACTACTCTTATTATATGAATAATGTCTGTCATATGCATTGAATGTGTTGTAACTCTGTTATCTTGGTCGTTCTGTACACATGACATCTATCACACTTCTGTCCATCCTGATAGAGGGATCCCTCCTCTGTTGCTCTCCCTAAGGTTTCTTCCTTTTTTCTCCCCGTTAAAGTGTTTTTTTGGGGAGTTTTTCCTGTTCCAATGTGAGGGTCATGGGACAGAGGATGTCGCATGTGTAGGCTAATTTGTGATTTGTGATTTTGGGCTATACAAAATAAATTGAATTGAATTAAATTGAATCCTTGAATGAGCCATTTCCAGTTTGCAGAGATTACAGAGCACCACATTGTTGAGCCTCTGTGTAAAATACTTCCACAATTTAAAGGATCCTAGACACGTTTTCTTTAGCTGCAGCTTGTTCTCCAAGGGAATGCTTGCTTTTAACTGGGCACATGTTATGCAAATCATTGTGATGGATGACCCACCACTAGACAGACAGACTTAGACCGGGCTGTCCAGAGAGGGGGCGGCTGTGGCTCAGAAGGTAGAGCGGGTCGTTCTTCAATCAGAAGATTGACAGTTCCTCCCCCGGCTCCTCTAGTCCATGTTAATGTGTCCTTGGGCAAGACACTTAACCCATCAGTGTTCTGGTGGGCAGGTGGCACCTTACATGGTAGCGCCTGCCATCAGTGTATGTATGAATGTGTGTGACTGGTGTAATAGTGTAAAAGTGCTTTGAGTGGTCCGAAGACTAGAAAAGCACAAGTCCATTTACCAGAGAGGACAGGCAGTGCTGTCATTGTGATGACAGAATGGCATTTTCTAACACTGAACTACAGAAATATCAGCAAATTCCAAAGCCTAATAGAAAGGGTGATACAATATCATTCTGGTAGAAGAGTCACTTCCTACCACAGCTAAAGAAACAACCAGGATTGTACCACCACCATCTCATTTACTGGTGTTTTGTTTTTTTCATTCATTCATTGTTTTTCATAATTGTGCTTTGGCAACACATGTCAAATGTCATGTCAATACAGCCTATTGAATTGAAAGCAAGAGAAAGAGAGAGGACTGAATATAGAGCACAATTCATAATATTGTTCCGTTACGTGAGATTATCGAGGCCAACCAATATCGTGTTGATTGGTAATCTCATCATTTCGCGCACACATACACAGCGAGCGCTGGCGCTCAGTGTCTCTCAGTTATGACTCCTGCTGGTGGCCAATCACGTGACAAGGAAATCAGTTGACCATTCAGATCAAATGGGTCCCTCAAATGGGCCATTTAAGTGACACTCCCACAGTGTACTTGCTGCAACGCCTGATTTGGTGCGAATGCAGAGTAAACCACATGGTGGGATTAAAGGGACAAAACTAGGCCTGCAGAAAATAACTGCTCTCTGAATCTAAACTGTGCCTCTAAAATTGAAATAGATGAAGTTGATATGATATTGAGTGTCTCAGGGTTATTTAAGTTGTTGTTTTGGCTTTTCAGCCAAATAAAAAAACCACAGCTGAAGTTGCTCTTACCTTCTGCTGTTGAATAGCTTCCAGCACCTCTTTCGAGCGGTGCATGAGCTGATCCTTATCTTTGATCTCCTGTTCCAGAACAGCCACTCTCATCTGCAGCTGGCTCCCCAAACGCTCCTTGTCATGGAGCTCTGTGTCCAGAGAGCTGTTCTCCCTCCTGAGAGACAGGATCTGCTGCTTGGAACGCTGGCACTCCTACACACATAACAGCAGGAAAACAGTCCCAGCATCAATAATCTTTCTTGAAATGATCTGTATTATCTACAGAAGTGGACAAAATAACAGAATAACTACACCACGGAACGGGAGCCCCACACTCAACCGTTGCTGCTCATTTTAGAGGCCAGTTTGTACTGTTTTTGTAAAAAGAAAACAGTTTGTTAACACCCCCCCCCCCCCATCCACTTACCTCCTCTACACCCACTAGTTTAATCTTCAGGTCTCTGATGACAGACTCATTCTTGTATTTCCTCTCCGTCAGCTCTCTGCAAGAGGCCTCCAGCTCTGTCAGTCTGCTGTGGAGCTGCTGGCTGCTCTTCTTATGAGAATTCTCCAGCTCCTGACGGAGCAGCTCCGTCTGCTGCTGAAGTCTGCTCTGTAACTAAAGACACCACATAAACCTTTCTTACAAGTCCTGATGCAGAACGCATGTCGTTGCCGTTCATCCATGAGCTTGGTTAGTTCCAAATAGGGAACCTTCATTTCCAAAGGTATGTAAAGGTTTGTATCCCAAACAAAGGTATGCATCTCTAAAGAAATGATGGGAACGTTTGACAGGTTTTTCTCTGTTTTAACTCTATGAAAAGCCTGTGTACATGTGTATCTTTGAAGTTACATCACTATGGCAACTATTGATCCTGGCGTCCAGACTCCAAGTCCATACTCTAAAAGTTCACAAGTCCGTACTTGTGAACTTGGGTATTGAGAAAGGCCCACACTGACACACGCGCATACACAAATGACTAGGAGATATTCAGGCAAAGGCATTGTAATACCGCCCCATCCAACATCCGGTTTCTTCAGACGAACATCTGGTTTTCAGAATAAGATGCCAACAAAGTATACATATTGCATAATGGAAATTAGATTAAATTAATTATATTCACATTAAGTATAAAACATGCTACCTGCATCTCGTGAGTTAAAGGGAAAATACACCTAAATTGTGCGTAAAGTGTCTTTATTCTTTGATTTGAGGGTTGCTGGAAATGAATAATACCTGACTGACAGTCAATTAAGATATTTTAGTAAGCAAAAACAATGAGGTGCTGTAAAAATGTTTTTCTCAAACATTCCACACAATGACTAATAAAGATGTTCAGGACAAAAATGGGTAATATCACAACATTTGAGGTGCTACAAAAATATTTTTCTCAATAATTCCATACAATGACTTGTAATCAAGGCATCGTTGACTTAATAATTGTTAATAGTTGTTTAAAAAAATGTAATAATAACAATAAATAACCACAAAGAAATAAGAATAAAATTGAATATGACTGTCTGATTTATGTTTGTTTTTTGTTCAAAAAAAATCTAAGAAAACACTTTGAATCTGTAGACTACTGCCTAATAGTCTTATTATTGCCATTTGATGACAATTGCTCATATACTGTAAGCCTAAATAAGTATATTTATTATTTTGAACAAAGGTTATATGTTATTTCACAAGTTTCAAAAAGTGCCCCCAATTTTTTTTAAATGCCCCTGGATTTCAGTCAGTGGGGGCAAAAATTGCCCCCTAAAAAATATGTAAATTTCCTACCCTGCTGTCATTTAATAACCTCTGTGTATGTGTGTCAAATATTATGATTCTGTCTCCTTTCCCCCTCTCTCCCCCATCCAGTCCCACCATTTCAAAATAAAAGCCCCATGGAGTAACTATCTTAATATTAAGATTATATTTGAACACATCATGATAACATTGTAAATTACTATTGTCGAATTCTCATTTTTACAGTTTGGAGCTTGAATGCACCACAATATAACTAAATGGAACGGTATACTAACAGTTAGCTGTTCCTGCTCAACAGATTTATTTTTCAAAATGTAACATTATCAGGGATCGGCAGATAGAAAACTGTAATGCTCATCTCCAGATCACATATTTTTACTGAATATTGGTCAATAACGATCCACAGTAAAGCCTTTTCTCGCTATAGATATACTGTAAAGCTGGAATGTTGGTTCCCTCCGACATTTTACAGCTCTTCTTCTCAACGCCTCAGGTACAACTTCCTCACACACACACACACACACACACACACACACACACACACACACACACACGATAAGTGACTCGGGGGAGAGGAGACTCGTTTTCACAGGCAGGAATCAGAACACCAAAGATATCGTAGATTCTTCAATTCTTATGGTTATTACGTTACGTGGCCGTGCTCATGGTTAAATTGGTTAATCCCTAGTTCCAAACAAATAAATGATGAATACACCACATTTGGCAGAGCCTCAGAACTTTGAGAAAGCAATAACACATCACAGCTAATACAACCTGGCATCAGAAACATGGTGTGTGCAGATGAGTCTTACCTCTAGAGCCTTCTCTCTCTCTGATTGTAACTCCTTACAATGACGGCTGGACAGAGAGCTGGTCTGACTTGTCCACTCTGAACGCAGTTTGTCTAACTCTTTAGTCTTCTCAGACAGCGTCTGTGAGAGAAATACATGTGTTATGAATTAAACAGATTCTTTTTCAACCACTCCCATATATGAACTATACTTGTATAACATTTTTCTACCTAAAAGACAAAGTGCTTCACAATTGGCCTCTAATTCACACACTCATACGCTGCTAGTGACGGAGCTGGCCTGCCCATCGGGTTCAGTGTCAAGGACACTCGGACACGTGGACAGGCCAACCCTGTGATGAGTGGATGACTCGCTCTACTAGTAGCTCCAGGTAATCATGACGTTTTAAAATCTCGATTTTTTTTTTTACCGTTTCGCATCTTTGCTTCTCGGTCTCTGTTCATCCAGCTTGTTGTAAACATAAGACTGTGTAAATATTACTACTCCTAACATGTTGGTAAATAACTGTCTCTGCATTTGATTCAAGTGTAAAAATATTGTACATGCAGTTATATAAATGTAAAAATATATTTAAGTACATTTCTGTTATTATAACTTAAATCCTTTTAATTTAGGGTTAAGAAACCCACATTACTCTATCAAAGATCAAACTATTAAAGAAAATAGCAAAGACAAATATCAAACACAAGTTATTACAATAACTTTGTTCAAAGCTTAAAATCCTTTCAAGGGTGCGTTTGCACAATCCCACGTGAAGTATTTCATCTGTTGTAAAGCCACGTTTAAAGTAGTCTTCAATGTACTCACAATACATTTCCATGTCAAATGTAGTGTAACCAGCCAAAGAGCTGCTCCTATGACTGTTGTGTTTAAGTATCTCATAACTTCGACTTTCTATCTCATAACTTTGACTGTGGGGATATTATTTATTTTTATCCAACTTTAAATTATTTTATTTTTTACTTTTTTTTTTTTTTGCGGCGGATTTGCGGGCCACATAAAATGACGTGGCGGGCTGGATTCGGCCCGCGGGCTTTGAGTTTGACACCCCTGCCCTAAGATGACCTGCTGTGTTTTTGTGCAGCCTTAGTGAAATAGTAGGGGTGTAACAATACACATATTCGTATTGAACTGTTCGGTACAAGGCTCACGGTTCGGTACGCATTACGAACCGAACAATACGTTTGAATACTATTGCATTTGGAAAATGCAGAAGCATAAATTGTGGGAAATATAATGCGCTCAACAAGGCAAACCACCCGACGTAACAGACAACATGTCTGACACTCCCACCATGTAACAGACAATGTGTTGTCTGACACTCACACCACGGAAAAACTAGCTTAGCAGGAAAACCAACAGCAGCACACAGGCTACAAACTCTCCCCGCGGCGTTTAAGTAGCTGTTCCCTACTGATTCAAACAGGGCAAAAACAATCGCCACGGCGATTGTTACATTTATAGCCGTAGATATGAGACCCTACTCTGGAGTGGAAAACCAGGCTGTACTTAATGCTATTGAGAATCAAATGTCCAAAGTTCCCGCTGTTGCTCTGACAACAGACGGCCGGACGTCACGGACTACATAATGCTTCAGACACGTCCCCTTGAGAGTCTCACCAGCGAGGATTTGGCATTTCTGCTGTATTGAAAACGTACCGAACAGTGGCACCACTGTATTGTATTGAACCAAACAGAGAATTTTGTGAACCGTTACACCTCTTTTATATAGTTAATATTCTCGTAGCCTTTCCAATTCCATGCACTCTTGTCTGTCTCAAACAACAAGCACTCCCAGCAGTACAGCCTCTCGTGTCGAACTGAGCCCGTAAGCCAAGTGTATCGTCCCCAGTTGCTAGCCTGAAAATGGCAAACATAGCCGGCTTTAGCAAGCTGATTGAGCTCAAGGTGTTCATGAGTTATGCGACATTTTTTAACAATGTCCATCTTTTCATTGAAGGGTCGTCTTGAATAGGGCACTGATAATAAATCCGCAATAATATCTTCTCCACCGGCTGCGTCAATTTTATCTCCACCTGTTGTCATTTTTGCCGTTGGCTATTAATCACTAATTAGCAGTAAGCTAGTTTTCATGAGTGGTACTTCTAGAATACCCTGGGGCAGGGAGAATTCTGAAAGAATACGCCCATTGGCTACAAATCCAAATATGATTGGTTGATCAAATTGTCAATCCAAACGTACGCTCTCATTATGTTCAATTGTCATGGCATTCTATCATGGAAATAGAATACCCTGGGTGGAGGATATTCTCCATTTTGAAATCCTTTGTTTTCCACAACGGAGTATGGCCTCATGTCTGCAGCAATAACCAATAGATTTGGTAATAGCTTCAGCCCGATCTGGTTCTGCCACAAACGGTCTCTTAAATCCCGTGGTGATAAGTTGTTGTTGCTGTTGTGCCTTGGTCCCCGTCGCTGACAGACCAGGATGGTGGAGCTTGATATGTGTGGACATGCCCGATGTATTACCGTCGTCGTATGTCTTTCTCGTTTAACAATGCCTAAATACCATTTTGTCCACAACCCTTATCCCGTCACACACTACTGCTTTATAACTTTTCACTACAACTCTGCATAGATATTTAGAGACGTATTACCTGAAAAAGTATGAGCGGCAGTAAAACTTTATTTCACACTATGATGATTAAACTGTAAAAAAAAAGAAAAGAAAAGCAATTAATCCGTGGTTCACATGTGTGCCAAACTGTGATCCGTTACACCACAAATAAAGAGTGAACATTGCGGAAGTTAGAGCAAGTTGAATTTCAAGAGGATTTTACAGCTGCTCTCTAGTCCCCCATTCCATCCCACCCCATTTGGTAAAATCTCAGAGGCTCTGACAATTTCCTGAATCTTGAAGAAATTTAAAAGTTGAACTGCTTTAAGAAAGTCCAAAGTGTCGTAAACGTTTTAAAGTTGATGAGCACGTTTGACGGTTTTCAAACAATGTTGGATATTTAGAAAGGTTTTAATGGGATATGAAAGTTGAATGTGAAAGATGTGGAACATTTTAAGTTTGATTAGAGTTTCTAGGTGAATTTATGAATGAGTAGATAAGAAGCACACCTGTTGGGCATAACTCAGCTGCCTGGACAGATCCTCATTAGTCTTCTGAAGCTTCATCTCTAGGGCCTGCTTCTCTGCCTGAAACATTGAGAAAACATGTCTTAACAAACATGACTTAGGACAAAAGGGCTTGGGTTACATGAAAAACATTATGGATGCTTAGATTAGATGATCCCTATGCAAACCTCCACAAGACAAACCTCAGTTTGATCACAGTTCTACAGTATTCTGATGAATGAGCCAACCTTGAGAGAGGAGAGACACACTGCCAGATAGTCTTTAATCTCTTTATCAGAGCCGTGAAAAAGCCTCAAAGACAAGTGGTTCAGGTGTTTGAATGCATTTGTCTCTACAACACTGAAGTTGGCAGGGCCTTCAAGCACTGGAGACTGACTTGACAAGTGCAGGAGAAACCTGTGGAAAATATAAGAAAAGAGTCATGTAGAGTCTGGTGTTGTTTCACTGGACTACAGTGTATAAATCTGATATTTTGTCCATCCCACAGATAAAACTTTATCAACTGATAAAAGCAACCACATGCATGTCAAGTTCTCTCCAGGAATATGTAACCAATCTTAAGAGTTATTATCCAAATCGACTCATCTTTTTTTCTATATCTCACAATATTTATGTAAAAGAAAATGAATTGCAATGGAATTATTAGGAGTGATACAAATCCTTATATAATGTGAAGCTGGGTTTATTCAGTAAGACAGTGTAATGTTGTGTGGTGGTTTTCTTCCTACCTTGGATTGTCTGACTCTTGCTCAGAATAACACAGATTAAGCAGGTCAATAAACTTCTGAGGAAATGATGCAAAGTCTATCAGTAGCCCCTGTTGGACTTTCAAACTACACAAACAATAAGAAAGAAAGACAACGTTAGAGATAGTTAAAGAAAACCTGTTCATGACATGAGTTCAAACACCGAGCATTGAAATTTATAGAGCTCTACCAGTACTTACCTTTGGAAATCTTCTTCTGATATAGAGAGGTTGAAGAGAAAATATGGATCAGTATCATCGGTTAGTCTCACCAGAAGATCCTAATACAAACAAAAACAACCAGAGGTTAAGTGAGCGGGGCCGAAAGCTGTTATAAACATATAAAAGGTTACACTGAGAACTGAAGTAGAAGGTGTAGGCCTCAAAGTGTTTTTCCAATTAGTGGACGACTACAAAATACAGATAAGACTATTTCTATTGTTATGCAGAACTCCTACTCACCCTTTTGTGTCCTGGACTGTTTGTCAACTGAAGCTCAATGGTGACACGGATGTTTGCTTTTCTGTAAAATTAAGAAGTTAAAATGGACAAACTCCTTCATATGAATCTAACAAATAAAAATTGATTCATAAAAAATTAAATCCCGTCCATGAAAATCACAAACCGGATTGGTGACAAGGGACAACCCTGTTGGAGGCCGACACGCACTGGAAACTCATTCGACTTTGTGGCAAATTTACAGACACAGCTCTTACTTTGGTCATACAAGGACTGGATAGCTCGTACCAACAACCCAGGTACCCCGTATTTCTGCAGTACCTCCCACAGGACTCCTCAAGGGACACGGTCATAGGCCTTCTCCAAGTCCACAAAACACTCCAATGACCCCTGCAACAGACCTGCAATGACTGGCAAAGAGGTGGTCCACTGTTCCATGGCCAGGAAGGAATCCGCATTTCACCTCGCGGATCTGAGATTGGACGATCGTTTGTAGCTTCCTTTTAAGCACCCTAGAATAAACTTTTCCGGGGAGGCTGAGCAGTGTGATACCCCGACAATTGGAGCAGTCTCCAGTTCCCCTTTTTGAAAATGGGAACCACCACTCCAGTTTTCTTCTCCTTTTTGTGTTGCCGAGATCGAAAAGTGATCGATGGTATGCCACTGTGATTCAGCGGCATATGTCGATCCCCAGAGTGGTATGTATCTATTGTTCCAACGGTATATACCGTTTCATACGGCAGGAGCCACTTGAAAGTGAAAGTCCACAGTCAGACAGGCACACCACTCCCGCCTCCTGATGCATATGCAAATTGTCTTTTTCTTTCACAAAACAATCATAAAGAACAGATAAGAGTATCGATAACGAATCAAACCGATAAGCAGTATCAATAAGAGTATTAGTATCGATAAAATCCTAACCCATCCCTACTCCAAGCAGTGTGATTTTTCCCAAGGTGTTGTGGATCTCAAGAGATATATTAAAGTGAAAATCAAGAAGACTTAAAGAAAATGTATCCCATCAATCCATGTGCAGCCTGTTGGACACTGTAGAAATCCTTTCCTGGAGGCAATAAAGCCAATCATCTACTGCATAGCCGTGTGTTCAGTTACAATTGTATGGCTTTCGATACATGTATTTTTGCCGAGATAGGCTTATTTTTAGTTTAGACCAAAACTTGTGTTGTAATGTCAACCTAAACTATCTCTATGCTCTTCCAAGGATGTATCGGACAAGAGAGGACAACTCCAAAGGATTTACTGATTTAATGATGCACCTCACCATGTTTACTGCAGCCAAACATGCACTCTGACAGCAGAGACATACTGTATTTTTGTTCATAAACCACATCTTTGTGACAGCATGCCATTTCTTTTTATTTCTATGCCACTTATTTCTGACAGCATGCCATTTCTTTTTATTTCTATGCATTTTCTTTTTTAACAATAGATACTTGAAATACCATGATTTTCTTGTTTTCCATTTTAAACAAAAAATGAAAAAACCGAAAAGCACAGCTGTTTTTCCATTATTTTGTTGTCTGAATTCAAAAAAGAAAAGACGGGAAAACCAAACTCAAATAACATGTTTTTTTTTAAATCCCTCTGGTTTTTTCTTTTGAAAAGAAACTTAAAGCAAGACATGTAGTACGAGTAAGTCAAAATAAAAGTCAACGCAATAGAATGACCGTATGCAAGCAATTCTTATAGACAGTCTATGATGCAAACACTTACAAGGGTAACATCATAAGAAAAATAAATTACTGTAAATAAATAAATCCGGGCCGTTTGGAGTATGTTAGCAACAGTAGTTGATTAGTGGCGGTTTAATATTTATTTATCTATGTACACCGACAATAAAGTTTTCGATTAATTGTTACATTGTTTGATGCAATACAGTTTGTAATATAGTTTAATGAATGTCATTTTGTGTGTGCAGAGTGGTTGCTGTTAGCATTGATATATATTTTTCCACTGTATTCTGTTCTTTGAGTGAAGGCAGAGCACAGCCTGTATAAGGAGATGAAGAGTAAATGTGTTTACTAAGAAAAGAGAACCAATTCATCTGTTTTTTGCTCTTGTCTTGTGAGATTAGGAAAAAATATAAAATATTCTAGAGTCAAACTTTCTTTATCTCAATGACAATAAAACACAGTATTTGACTAACATTATATCTGCTCATCGTGGCCCTTTGACCTCTTCTGTTGAACCAATCAATCAGGATTTAAGTGTGACAAATAAATCCATGAGGTAGGTAAATTATGCTTAGTGTTTCAAATAAGAATAAACTAAATGTCTTCTTATTGTTCAATTGTTATTATGTATTGCTTCATGAACAACACATGCCCATGACGTAAAATAACAAGAAAATACATGATGTACACAAGGTTGCACATTGTATGTATCAATAACCTAGATAATTAACAAAGACACAGGTAAATATGACTAAATCTTTGGTTTAAATACACTTATCCTGCCATCTACTGGTAGAAATGGTAAACACATTTACTCTTCATCTCCTTATAGAGGCTGTGCCTTCACTCAAGGAACAGAATACAGTGGAAAAATAAATATCAATGCTAACAGCAACCACTCTGCACACACAAAAATGACATTCATTAAACTATATTACGAACTGTACTGCATCAAACAATGATTCATCGGAAACTGTATTGTCGATGTGTACATGGATAAATAAATATTAAACCGCCATTAATCAACTACTGTTGCTTACATACTCCAAACGGCCCAAGTTTATTAATTTACAGTTATTTATTTTTCTTCTGACGTTACCCTGGTATGGGTTTGCATCATAGACTGTATATAACAATTGCTTGCATAGGGTCATTCTATTGCCTTGACTTTTATTTAAAAATATTCTTACTTCCGGGTTACCTGTCGTGCTTTGCGTGTGTTTTCAAAGGCAAAAAACAAAATCGGCTCGTCTTTTGAGTTTGGTTCTGTCGTTTTTAGACATCAAAAACGGAAAAACAGCTGTACTTTTTGTTTTTCCCGTTTTTGGTTTAAAACGAAAAAGCCATGATATTTCTGTATTTTCCTTTTTCGATTTAACGATAAAACAAGATTATCAAAAGGTACACGGACCCACAAGGTTGGTCATTATTCTTGTTAATGTAGTTACACTAACGCAAAGTGAAGTTACAGGTTAACGTACACCTAGTAGTATATCCATCTCTTGTTGCTAACATAACCACATCAGAAAGATCTCTTGAAATATAAAAAGCTAGGTTTTGTTAAGATAGGTCATCTCACGTCAATTTCTGCAGTCTTACCTCTCCTCACAGTCCCTGCACCTCACGTTGACTTGCAACCCTTTGCTGAAGAGTTCCTCCATGTTGTATTCAACAGCAACACGTTTTTCACTGGGGTATTAAACTGACTCGTTGGTAAACCGGTTAGTTCTGAGAGGCAATGGCTTCCATCACACAGACCCTTTACTTTTTAGTTGTTATCCCGTAAGGATTTTTGATTTGGCGCTTCTCAGCCGCCAACTGAATCGCCCTGGAAACGGAACGTGAATTATCTTCTTCTTCTTGACATCTATTTGCTGTTGGCCAACATAAAACTCCTTACCGCCGCGTAGTGACTGGGAGTGGAACTGGAGAGGATTGTCTTCAACAGCAACAAGTCATAATCACAGCAGGGGAGATTTAGTGTATGCAGTGCAAATGACCGTATGACCCTTTGCCATTCAAGTGGCCCCTGGGTCATTCTACAGAAACGGTGGAATCTAGGTAGTATAGATCTGCTGAAATGTATTTCTCCTTAAAAATAAAAAACGTATTGTATAACATCTAAACTTAATGATTCCACAAAACATTGAGCTTAAAACCTCTTCTCATTCCTGCATAATTTGCCCAAACCGCCTATCAATCGCGTACCCAAAGTAAACTGACAGCTCTTATTGAACCATTGGGAGTACATGTATGGTTTTAGTCTTTATTCAACGGCAACACTCTGAAGTTTCTTCACAATCAGTCAGAATCACCGTAAGTGCTAGTAGCATTGAGCTAATGCGTTTTCAGCACAGTGAAAGAGAAGCATTTTATTTCCGCCTAGATTTGTTTTGGCCAACAGATGGCAGCAGCTATCTATGGCTGGGACTTACAGGGTTGAAAAGACTCTCCTTCGACAGCTAACAGTCATGAAACCTAGTATAAGTTAAAATTGAATAACAATATGACAGAAAATTAATATTTTACATGTGGTTTACTAAGAGTGCAGCCACGTAAAAACACATTTGGAGGAACGCATTTGGAGGTTCACGTCACCACGTCAAAATGCATACAGTACGACATGTTTGAAATTCAAACTATAGTTTATTTATGTCAATGTATGGTTAACAATATCATATTTAACCATTATCAACTTTCTCAGATTCTTGAAAATTCTCATGAACCAGACTTTAGTCTTCACACTCTGTCCCAGGAACTTGACTCATGGTTTCCAGTTCAGGTTAGAAAACTTTCCCAGTATTCAATCTGATAAATCTGCATGTCCTTGGCTTCGTAATTTCATTGGCTATATGGAGTTTGAACTGGATCTGTTGCGATTGGCTCGAGCTATACCCAAAGAAGTGAGGCGGGCATTGTCTTTCAAAGCGGACTCTCGTTGGCTGTTCCAGACTGTGGCCGGGCTATAGAAGCTCCTATTGGGTCAAATGAGGTGTCAATCTAACCGGTGGAATGCAGGCTCCATTTTGCGATGAAAATCTCCGCTCTGTTGACACGGAATGTGAAGTTATGCCTGAAATATGATCGCGAGTTATCATATCTGCTGGCTAATTTGAAATGATGCAACAGCCCCCCCGTGGGTCTTTATGGACGTACTAATGTGTTTTGGACTAAATATTTTACTGGATTCGATCGAGTGGACCCTTAGCCACCTAGCAAGACCGTTTTTGCTGGACTAGCATGCACAAGGGGGACGTTATGAATCATAATCGGTGAGTCATGGCGATATTTTATCGGCTATTTTTGGAGTGCTTGTTTGACAGAGACGTTAACTGTACCTGCTGTTGTTATTGTATCTTGCAATGGTTTGCATAAATCGAATTACAAGAACCATAGCTTTCTAATGAGATATCACATTAATACTCATCGTTACAGGGCAGTTGTGTGCATAACACAAATATGCAGTTATCACTCTGTCTTCTCATTCTGACGGCCGCGGGCGGGCCGTCAGAATGAGAAGACGTTTTTAATGTATTTTTATTTTTCATGTCTGTTTGCAGCTTTTATGTGGCTAATTTATACAGGAATGTTACTGGTGTTACCAGGAGGAGGAGTAACACCAGTGACTGTAACTCCAATGACAATATAGAGAAAAACCTACAATTTTAACAAAATGGTTGCCATGTGTCAGACCACATGTTTTCAGGCAAATCAAAATCATTAAACTGTTCAATATAACCAGTTTTCATGTTCAGTTTCTTACCCCTGCAGCCAATACATGAGTAACACAAATGACAGACTTAAAAGCTTCGCTCAAAATTCTCACATATATCATGATATTTTAAACAAATGGGGGGTTGAGTGTAAAAAGAAGAGATAGGTGTTTAAAAAATAAATAGATGGAAGAAAATGAAAGAAATATATTTTTTGTGTGTGAAAGAAAATATCCACGAAGTTTGATGATTTTTGGATTCATGGCGAAATCTGCACCAGGCCCATGGCACGTGTTTGGAATGGGTGGTGCCCAGTATTGAGCAATTGCAAAATAGTTGTGCATAACATTGACTCCTTTTACATGAACTAATATTCCAATATAATTCTGAAAATGACAATATCGTAAATTAGATATGGGTTATGTAAGGTCCGTGAATGAAGTAAAATTCCTGTGCCATTGTTCACATTGTATATTGAAGAATGTCAGTGTGATAAAGTGGGTGAGAACACACCATTTGTCCCATATTACATTCATCTATAAATCTCACCATGCTTGTCGATTGTTTGTTTATCATACCCACCATGTGTTCCAGAGGCTAAAGGGGGGAGGCACCCAACCATTTCCTCTATTTATTAGGGGTGGGAATCACCAGAGGTCCCGCGATACGATATTATCACGATACTGTGATATTATCACGATACTGCGATATTCTGAGTATTGCGATAACATAGGCCTATATTGCGATTTATTACTTTTTTCAACTTCAAATTATGTCCCCAAAGGAAAATTGTGTCAACATGTTTTATCTAATAAGATAAAGTTTTCAGTCTGTTCATCTCACTCCAATCATTTTTATTGCAGCAAAATAGGATTGTCAAGCAGACAGACTGACCAACAATGTCATGAATGTTGCACCTGACACACTGAACTGTTTGTATTACTACATAGTCCAACTTAACTGAATGCAAACGTGTGAACTCAGTATATGAACTATAACTTATATAAGTAGGATATAAGAGTTATATTCACTCAGTATAACTTGCGATGCGTGGACGTCGAGGGCAAAGAGACAGTTATGCGCTGCACTCTCCCCATGAGCCTGGCTACTGTTGGCAGATTTAACCCCGTTGTGAGGCCAGATGTCTATCTTTGTTTTGACCAACTTCCTACCAATCACGCTGACCCGGGACCTTTGCTGACCTCACCAGAAAACAACTAAGCACCATCTAGTGGACTGAAAAAGCAATTGATTTGATTTTTCTAAAAAAAAAAAAAAAATTTCTTTTTATAGTTTATATAATAAAAGATCGATACTTGGCGTCCGTGTATCGATACAATATCGCCACGCAAAATATCGCGATACTATGCTGTATCGATTTTTTTTCCCCACCCCTACTATTTATACACTGGATGATGTCATCCGTGATGTCATTGGGTCAGACCAAGAATGGGGGGGGGGGGGGGG